TGAAATAAATAAATAAATAATACTTCTAAATCCCTTTTGCATATATGTTTGTCAAGCCAGGTATTATCCATTCTGTAAAGATGTATTTTTTTTCTGCCTATGTGTAATATTTTACATTTCGCCTCACTTAAATTCATTTAGTTAGTTTTGGCCCCTTTTTTTTCATGTAAGAAGACATTGTTTCATGCATACTGTGGTAAAGAAATAAAATTGAATATTCTTTCAAGTGTTAAAATGGTGGTGATTCATTTCTGCATATGCATGCATGCACAGCCATATTTTCTGTATCAAACAAATGTGTATCTGATGGAACTTTTTGTGGTTTTGCTTAAGAATCAAGGCAGGAAGGAAGAAGGTGTTTTCAGAGATAATATCAACAGCACTCTTTTCTTAGGCAATGAATATTCAGAGGTGATTTTGCCAGTTCCTTTCTCTGAAATATAGTCTACAGTATCTAATATTTGTTTATGTTCTCCCATCCAGGTATTAACCAGGGCTGACCCTGCTTAGCTTCAAATACCAGAATCTGGCACCTTTGTGGCATTTAGACCAGGAACTAAGAGTGTCTTTACAAAAGAGTGGACCTCATCCTTTCCTCTTAAGAATCTTAGCATGGATTTTTTTGTAAAGGTTAACTCAAAAGCATATTTCATTTCAAACCAATCATATTCGGCTATTGGTTCTGTGCTGAAAATATTCTGTCACACTGATTTTTTAAAAATGTCAGGAGCAACTTGAGAAACTGCAAGTCGCTTCTGGTGTGAGAGAATTGGCTGTCTGCAGGGAAATTGCCCAGGGGATGCCTGGATATTTTGATGTTTTACCAGCCTTGTGGGAGGTTTCTCTCATGTTCGCGCATGGGGAGCTGGAGCTGACAGAGGGAGATCATCCGTACTCACTCCAGATTCGAACTTCCAACCTGTCGGACTTCAGTCCTGCCGGCACAAGGGTTTAACCCATTGCGTCACTGGAGGCTCCTATCACACAGATAAACACACATAAAAGAGCCTCACTTTTAGAGTGCTTCTAGATAAGTTTGCTTTTGTTGTGCATTTTCTTTTATTGTGCAAATACTTTGCATTGCAAGTATTCTGGAGACCTGAAGGCACACACTGTGCAGCTTCTGGCTATACATTATTCAACTCAATATTGCATCATCAAGAAATAGTAAACCAAAGCAGCTAAAAAAAATGATTTTCCTATTGTGAAAAGTGATGCTGGATCAATACGAGACATGATGCTCAATTACCCTTTGGCTTTTTATTTTATCTTTATTATTACCTGAGATCAATACTTTCAATCATGGTTGATAATAGATAATCATTGCTGTTCTCTTGCATTAAACAGACGGCTATATTGTTCTAGGGCAGCTATCACAGCTATTCATCCATTAGCTTCCTATTCACTGAACTAGTAGAAAGATGTCATCCAGGACGGATGTTAGGCACGTACTTTTGAACAGGGTGTCAGCGATCAGTTCGGCTTGGATGGAGGAGGGCACAATGCAACTACATTTCATTAATCAGCATGGCAGTTTTGATGGAAATTATTAATTGTTTTTTTAAAAGAAGTTTCTCACATATTATGAAGAAAGTGGGAAAACACTAAGGAAGTGATTTGTTGATGGAATTTATCTTTAGCAGTTACTCCATTTGTTCAGCTCTATTGTCAAGTGAAGGCCCGCTGGTGGCGCAGCAGGTTAAACCACTGAGCTGCTGAACTTGATGACCGAAAGGTTGGCACTTTGAATCCAGGGATTGGGGTGAGCTCCTGCTGTTATTTATTTTATTTATTTATTTACTACATTTTTATACCGCTCTTCTCAGCCCTCAGGGCGACTCAGAGCGGTTCACAACCACAATACAATACATAAAACATGATAAAAACAGTTAAGAAGCATTTAAAAGGATAAACACTTATAACAATCAATAAGCATCAACATCTCATATCATCTCATAGTTAAAATCAAGATCCAGTCTTGTCATCCAATTGTTCCATATTTCTATATTAGTTACACTGCCTATTCAAATGCCTGCTCAAACAACCAGGTCTTCAATTTCTTCCGAAATGCTAGCAGGGAGGGGGCCGATCAAATTTCTGTAGGGAGGGCGTTCCAAAGCCGAGGGGCCACCACTGAGAAGGCCCTGTCTCTCATCCCCGCCAACCGTACTTGTGATGCAGGTGGGACCGAGAGCAGGGCCTCCCCAGATGATCTTAACGTCCTAGCTGGTTCATAGGAGGAGATCTGTTCGGACAGGTAAGTTGGGCCAGAACCTGTTAGGGCCAGCTTCTGCCAACTTAGCAGTTTGAAAACATGCAAGTGTGAGTAGATCAATAGGTACCACTTTGGCAGGAAGATAAAAGCGCTCCATGGAGTCATGGTGGCCACATGACCTTCGAGGTGTCTATGGACAATGCCAACTCTTCGGCTTAGAAATTGAAATGGGCACCCCCCCCCCCGAGTTGGACACAACTAGACTTAATGTCAGGGGAAACCTTTACCTTTATCTGTTGTCAAGTGATGTTACTTTTTAGTCATATTCTACATTGTGTGTCATTAAATGAGAACCAAGGTGGAACGGTGGTTATACCACTGGACTAGGACTTGGCAAATCTAGAATCACAACTCCGCTCAGCCGTGAAACTCAGATCCCATCTACACTGCCATATGAAATCCAGATTATCTGTTTTGAACTGGATTATATGGCAGTGTAGAAACAGTCATTGTGCTTGACCTGCTTCAGAGGATTGTTGACATAATGAAGTGGGGTCTACAATACTGTGGTAATTGGAGAAAAGGCCAAATAAATTAGCAGTGAAAGCCAATAAAGTGTAGTGGTTTGGGTATTAGACCAGCAGGCCCGTAGCGAGGGGGGGGGGTGTTTAGGGGTTCAACCCCCCCCGAAATGTTTCAGATTTTTTTAAAAAACCTGGTTTACTCATGAATTTTAACTGGTTAACCAAATCCCCATGCTAAGTCTATGAGATGCAAAAAATCAAGAGTCCCTCCAGAACTGCAAGCACTATCTCAAGCAAATATTAGCAATTTATTCACACTGTCATTACTTGCAGCAATAGCCGATGTAGTTGTTCTGGTACAGCTGTACCAGGAGCTCCAACTTTATTTGCTTTGTATTAAATGTTTGCTTGCAGTCCTAGGTTTCAGGGACTCTGCAGATAGGTGGCTTCTTTGGTTGCAGTCATAGGGCAAGTCACCTGTCCATCATTGTTAAGTTTTGGTCCCGCCCTTGCTCAGGGCAATTGGGAAGGGAAGGGAGCCATTTTTAGTTAGTCTCAGCAAGGTAAGCTTATGTATAGGATGTGTGCAAGCTTCCCCTGTACAAAAGCTTCAATCCTTAAGACCTTCCGGGGGAGAAAGGTCTTAAGAGTCTCCAAAGAATTTCCAGGAAAACAGCCCTAAAGACCAAAGAACTCCAGCTGGAGAACATCTATTGCCTTGCTGGTAGGTCCACTCGGCGTTCGAGACGCAGTTCGACCCGGTAGCGGAGCCCACATCAGTAAGGGTTAGATTACAGTCAGCCTGGGAGAAGTTAAAAAGGGGATTTTCCTTTAAAGAAGAAGTTATTGAAGACAGTTGCCTGTCCTTCGTGGGCAAGATTAGGAATTCACCAGTTGCCTAAAAGCTTGGAATCATTTGCTTAACTTTACTGAAGCCAAGAGAAGTTTCTGTTTGATTGTTCATTAATAAAAGACTTTGTTATACTTCTCAAGCCATCGAAAGACTGTTTGTGGAGAAAACCTCTGAGAACTTCTCTTTAGGCCCCCTGGCTTCCCGCTGGGCAAAGGTTGCACATCCTGTTCTAAAGACAATTATTTACAGGCCCAGCGTGCGACAGAACAGTAGTGAAGCAACCAAGTTGGGGGTGGGGATGTTGAATGCTCTCATTAAGGAGGCCAGACTTGGTGGGGGTGGTTGACAAGGGCGGAGCTGCAGGCTATTGAAGGCTGCCCTGCCCCCTGCTGTGCTCTTTGCTTCAGCGTGAGCTAGGAGGCAGGTTTCAACCCCCCCCCCCGCGAAATTTTCAACCCCCCCCCGTGAAATTTCAACCCCTCCCGAAATTTTTTTCTGGCTACGGCCCAAGACCAGGACCCTTGGAGACCAAAGTTCATATTCCTGCTTGGCCATGGAAATCCACAGGGTGATCTTGAGTGAGCCATACTCTCTCAGGTACCATCTACACTGCCATATAAACCAGTTTCTGATCCCTGATTATCTGCTTTGTACTGGATATAGTAGACTCAGATAATCCAGTTCAAATCAGATAATCCAGGATAAGGTACTGGGTTATATGGCAGTGTAGATCCAGCTTCAGCCTCAAAGTAAGGCAATGTCAAATCCCCTCTTAAGAAATCCCCATGATAGAGTCACCTTAGGGACACCACAAGTGTCATTAAAGGAGAACTTGAAGGCATGCAATAACAAGTTAGAAATAAATAAGTAAATGGTGGGTCAGACTGGAAAATAAAGCTAGTGGCAGATTAAAAGGAGACTAGAGGTACACTCATCATAGAATCATAGAGTTGGAAGAGACCTCATGGGCCAACTCGATGCCAAAAAGCTGGAAAATCACACCCAACTGCAAAACATAAGAGGAGACAAGGGCATCCCCTTCCCTTACTGAAGTGCCAAAATTACATTACATTTTAGGAGCACATCATCAGACTACCAGACTGGTTTGAACAACTAGCTTCACTCGGCTCATTAATAGAATTGCAAGTTGATCGGCTTGAACTGGAATTGGCTAAAACAGGGAAAACAATAAGGGCAGGATTCAAAGTGGCTACAGGATTCTGGGACGTGCAGTTCACAGAAGCAGCCTTTCTCAGGTTTGTTATGAACACATTGCATCATCTGAACATTTGCCAGAGTACAAAATACAAACACAACGTGCAACAAAACAAGCAATAACTACTCTGAAGTTTGGGTATTCATTAACAAATTTGACTGCATTTTTCAATCCCTGAGCAAGGATTATAGACAGCATTTTGAAAATAATAAAAATATGTTGTGAGTCACAGGAGCGGCGTGAAAAGAGGTGGGTTTTTTTTGTTTGTTAATGGAGTGGGGGGGGGGGGGGGGGGGGGGTAAGAAGTTCAACTACAATAAGTCACATCACACAACTAAATGTGGTCAATTCTTAGCTTCTCTAACTACCTCCAAATAAAACCCCTCCCTGCAATCCATAATTGTGTTTCATTCATAATTTTCTGCCAGAGTATATGCAGACCTTACTTTCCAAAGGTCTTCAGAATAAATTCGGACCACCTCATGCTTAGCTTATTTTAATGTTCAGATGCTGCAGTGCTGACATTAATAGGGATTAAGCATTAGCCATCTGATTGCTGCATGGAAGCTTGCTAAGAATTCTATCTTTCCATTAATAGGCATGGCTGGTTAGACCAAATATCCATTTGGGGGCAGGATTTACCTGTGTTAGCCTTTGAAAGCATAGTAATACTTTACTTATTGGCATATGTCTTGATGAATAAGCTGCAAGGTGTACAAAACTATGTCTGCCTTTGGATTCCAAATGGCAGCAAAGCAATTAGTTCATGTGGCTTTTGTCCCTCTGCACGGTATCACCATCCGTCATTTTAACTGTAAGTGTATATGCTACCTCATATAACATGTGTCTTTAGAACAGAATCTATTCATGCTAATGATCAACTTCCACATTACATCCATGTTGTCCAGTGTTTCACAACCTGGCATGAGTTGTGCTGGAACAAATTGTTCGAGGAGCTGATGGATCCCTCTTAAGGCCCTTCTACCCATGCTGTAAAATCAAGTTAGAAGGGCGGGGGGGGGGGGGGGGGGGGGGGGTAGCTAAATGATGTTTAGCCAAAGTTTGAGAGGGATCAGGCTAAGAGGGCAAAAACACATGTTTAAAAGGTGCACTTATAATTTGATTCCAGTGGAAAATGTACACATTTGCATGATTATATATTTCTGCAGTCATGCAAAACACATGCTTTCCTCTCCCCCACCCCCTATGTAGACTGCACTTTTTAAAAGCCCAAAACAGCTGACCAGCTGATCAGGCTGTCAAATGGACACAAAGGTGGTTCAAGGGAAGCACAAATGGAGAACAATTGGAACTTTCTGAAACTCTTTCTTTTACACTTTATAATCTTAAACAGAGGTTGAATTAAGGATCTGGAGAAAAGAGAGATCCAACAGAAGTTTTTTTTATTTCCCTCCGTTATGACTTGTAATTCTGCTTATATTTTTATTAAAATATTTGCATGTGTGCATGTACGGTGCATAACAAATGGATTTTTTTTAAAAAAACTTCCACTGGATGTCTCCCGTGCACTGTCCATCTTGGTCCACTTCAAAAGAAGACTGTGAGGATGGCAGGGGACCATATTGCAGGACTGACAGGTCTGTGTGTCAGGTCCTGGGATTTTTAAACCCATATTTGAAATATGGATCTGCAATGATTGGCAAGTTGTATAAGATGAATTTCATTGGCTGATCTCATTGGTTGCTTGCCATAATAGACTTAGTATTGTGTAGTCAAAATTATTGAAATGTCTTATTACATGCTTAGCTGTTATTTTGGTCATAACCATTTGGGAAATGGGATTCATAATCTTTTTTAAAAGTTGCTGGTCATTGAAAAGGCATGACCTTATTACAAGTCACAACCTTTTGAAAAGTCATGTGCACCATCATTTATGCAAGGTATGTAGTTCTCTCAGCTGTTAAACTGATGTACCTAGGTACATCTTTGAACTGCTAGGGACAAAGACATGCCAATGCACAAAAACATACTCAGCAGAGTTTTAGAAATGTTCCTTTTGTTGGCAAAAAAAATCTACGCTCCCTTAAAATATATTTGCCTTTAAATCATGCTCTCGAGACAAAATAAACAGTTTTCTTTAAAAGTAACAGAGTTGGTTTACTATACAGCATACAGGCACTTTGCTTATGAACCCAGTTACAATAGGATTTTAAGTAGTTTCTCTGTGTAGGTTACACAGGGCATCTTCCTTAGAAACAATAGTCCATGGTCCAAAGCATCTCTCTGTTTTGAGAATCTAACAAGTCTCTAAGCATACTGTTCCTGCATTGAAGCCTAAAGGCATCAGATGGCTTCTATTCTCGCTGAGTCTAATACCATCTATCTCCACTGAAGTCTAAAGCAAAACACAAACTAAAATGGATCTTAGTCCTGAACCTGTCCAGACCTGATCACATGGTCTGCATCCCCTCCCACAACAAAGAGGTTTGGTAAAATTGCAAACCAATACACACATAGAAAACAGCAAGCCATTATATACATAACAAAACAACTAGTGGCGACTTGAGAAGGTTGCTATTTCCAACAATTACAACAGTGCCATATGTAGATGTTAACATAAAGTCCTTCTGATAGCAAGGAGTCTAGAAAGAGTCTACCGAAGGTTTGGGAAGAAATTATGAAAACATCTGGTCAGGAATGTTAGTCAGATGGGAAGTTACTGCAGCACATACCCATACCTTTATAGTATACAGTTTCTTAAACTCTGGGTCAAACCACTACACAGTACTGGCTCTCTTTTACTGAAATTACTAATATTATTGAGTGTGGCTTATTTATTCAAACCCTGAGGTTCTTTCCCTTCCTCCACCCTCTACTACCCCATTCTTTTTCAGTTTTGTCTAATCCACTGTGTCATTGCCAAGTGCTGTTTTCAAAAACAATGCGCCCAGAAACAATCTCCCTTGGCTGCCGGATGGATGTTGCATTGTGCCAACTGAAGGCATCGTCTGGCCTTCTGCAGTTACATAACAGAATGTGACTAAGATGGCCAGATGTGGCCTGTCACCTCAGTGATCAGCAAGCATTGAAAAGGCAAGGCCAAGCTGTTTTCTAAAAACTACACTTATAGGCATGGAAGTATAAACAGAATATACTTAGCTTGGGAGCAAATGTTAGAGAACAGAAGGCTTTGTACGGGAATGAATGAATAAAGAGAGCCGCGAATCTAAATTGGGAGGGGTTTTGTTGATGGCTGGGTATATTTTTAATCCAACAATGAATTTCTTATAAATACCTGACATGTCAAAATTCTTTCCTTTCCTTAGGAAAGCCAGGCGTGGATGGCCAAATGGAATGAATGCAAATAACAGATGCTGATCCAGTGGCCAATTGTATTTTATTCCCTCTTTGGTAATACATCAGGAATTCTGAGGCAACAATGGAATGAGAGATGAAAAGGAAAAGGCTACAAATATTCCAAGGTTTGGTAATATGAGGTGTATGCGTTTGTGTGTACGCTGTGGTGTGGCAGTCCATCAAAGGAAAAAGCAGCTGTACTTAACCGAGATGTCTGTTCAGATTAAGGTTCTCCCTCTCCAAGTAATGTTTAGTTTTTGATGCATTGTGTGATGCTGTTTACATAACTGCAATCTTATCTTGGCAACCATCAAGTCTAGAAATCTGTCTGTAGAAAAATAATGCAGGGATAATACTGGATTTTCCCACAGTATGATACAGGTCAAAGCCAATCCCAATGTTCCTGATTTGTTGACTAGGATTGTCCTGTGAATGTGCTGCACAATTTTAGTTGAGATGTGGTGCACTGGATTCAAATTGATAAACGTTCTGCTGTTGGAAACTAATTTGTACAGGAATGGTATTTGCAATACTGTACATTGTTGTCCATATGGAGACTCCTTTGGAGGCTTTTGAGCAGAGGCTGGATGGCCATCTGTCAGGGGTGCTTTGAATGTGATTTTCCTGCTTCTTGGTAGGGGGTTGGACTGGATAACCCATGAGGTCTCTTCCAACTCTACGATTCTATTATTCTATATATAATAAGGTACAGAGAGATGAATGAATGCATGGAAAACCAGAAAAGTGGCACTGCATGAAATTACATGCTGACAAAAACACAAAATGGTGGATTCCCACAAAAATGAGCCAAATCTGACAGATTGTGCAGTTCTTTTGCTTAAAATAATAATAATGATGATAATAATAATAATAATAATAATAATAATAATAATAAAATTGGTTGTGTCTAAGGAGGGCAAAGCATATTTATTGAGATAGCTGTCGGGGTGCTTACAATGCGATTTTCCTGCTTCTTGGCAGGTGGTTAGACAGGATGGCCCACGAGGTCTCTTCCAACTCTATGATTCTATTATTCTAATGTGTTAACAGAGCACTATGGGGGGGGGGCATTCAGTGTGTTCCTGTTTCCCCAAAAATGGGAGAGTGGCACTAATAGATGTGAATAGATCATAGTGTAATAACATCCTAAGTACACAGGGAACTTTATACTGGTGAAACATTTGAATCCATGGATCATGTGATCAGATGAACACTCAAATTCTACCCCAACATCAGCCCAAATGCAGTTAGTCACTCGTGCTCCAAATATAAATCAGTTTAGTAGCATCATCCATTGCACTTCTATTATATATGCTCTATTAAACTGAATTGGAGTTGTTCAGAAACATAGTTCAAATGGTTCTCCTTAATCTCATTGGACTTTGCATCTGGATACATCCTTGGCAAGACATGGCCCATGCAGTGAAATATACCCTCCATGGAGTTCAATTGAGCATTTTGCCAGGTCTACTGATATATAAGATTGCAGACTAAAAGTACAATCCTCTACATGTCTATTCGGACATAAATTGTAGTGAGTTAAATGGGATTTATCTTTAGGAGACTGTTAAAGACTTGACTGCTGCTGTGAACTTTTTCAAGGAGCCACCTGTCCTTTGCTCGTGTTATCCTGTATAATCCTATTTACTCTAATGTAAAGCAATGTTGGGGAAATTCAAGCTCTGATTGCAGTTTTTTTGTATTTGAAGATGCTCTTATTTATGCAGTACTAGAAATTGTGTGAACTGTAAACCAGAAAAATTATTACATTCACTGTTGGGATTTTATTTGATGGAATAGTTTTTTTCTAATTCTAATTTAGAATTTGCCTGCTCTAAAATGAAGAAGAAACAAGAACAAGTAAACATGAGAAGATATCAAGTAAGCTCTTGGTATCCAGCATACAAAAATCTGTGGATGGTCAAGTCAAGTATTTTATATACAATGGTAAAGTATATATATTAAATGGCAAAAAGCAAATTTGCTTTTTGAAAGAAAAAATCAATCTTTGGATGGTTGAATTCATAGATGCACAATCCATGGATATAGAAGACTACAGTAGTACCAAATTTTAACATTCATAAATCAATATCTAGTTAACATAAATTGTACAAAGCATTTTGTTTCAAAATCTGTTAAGAAGACATGTGATCCAACAATGATCTCAATAAAAAGTCAGGAACCAATACAGTTTTTAATGTACATTTTAGCAAAGATCCATACTCGATTTTTAAATGTTATCTATCTTAATGCCTTGCAGTTTTTCAGCATCAGAAATGGCAAGCAGGATACACAAGAGCCTGTTTTATACTTCCCAGTTTTATGTATAGGTGACTTTCCCATACATTAGGTTATGGTGCCATCTTATGGCAGCTTCCTACCTCTGTTATATGTCTGTTGAAGGGATTACTTTGGTATCTGTGTGCTGTCTTTAGAGGTTTAATGAAAAGCAAACCCTGTAACCATGTTATGAAAGAGAAATGATAGAACAATGCCTCGAAATAGAATTATAGAACAAGAGCAGAATCACATTCTGGCAGCTTTTTCTCTTTTATTTCTATTTCTACTTCCTTCTCTGCTTGTAAATTTTTCAAATAATATGATAGCTATTAGATGCATTCTTTTTTTTCATGTCAGGAGCGACTTGAGAAACTGCAAGTTGCTTCCGGTGTGAGAGAACTGACCATCTCCAAGGACGTTGCCCAGGGGACACCCGGATGTTTTGATGTTTTAATATCCTTGTGGGAGGCTTCTCTCATGTCTCCGCATGGGGAGCTGGAGCTGACAGACGGAATGAATCTGTGCTCTCGAACCTGCGATCTGTCAGTCTTCAGTCCTGCCAGTACAAGGTTTAACCTATTGCACCATCCAGATACATTCATTATCTATGCGCCTATTGATGATATTTGCCAACATATCCTTTGGTTAAGCTAGTGTACAAATGACTCCTGCAAGAAGGTATCCTGTACCTCCCTGTGCAACATTGTTGCCTCTAGTACAATGCTTCTTGGACCATCTGATGTGAGGAAGCAATAATCCTTTCCTCCCAATGTGCCTAGAACTTTATCGTAGTTTGTTTTTTTCTTGTTAGATCTAATAGAGTCTTTCTTTCTTGGAAAATTGCCAGGGTATAGCAGGCAATGGTTCAGGGACTTGCATCGATCTAAGGATCATTATATTGAGTAGCCTTAATCTAGTGTAGAAGAGCGACCAGGAGTTTCGAATGTAATTTCATTCCTCTGGCAAGCCTTCTACTTAGGGGGCATCTGGTTGCCTCCAAGTGCTCTTTTCTAGCTAATCTATGGAATGGGCTATTTTAAATATACCCAGTAGGAGACAGAGCAACAGGTTCAAGCTGTAGGAAAAAGATTCCACCTAAACATTAGGAAGAACTTCCTGACAGTGAGAATGGTTCAACAGTGGAAGATACTGTCTTGGAAAGTGGTTTAGTCTCCTTCTCTGGAGGTTTTTAAACAGAGGCTGGATGATCATCTGTTGTGAATCTTGTGACTGTGTGTTCACACATGGCAGGATGGGGTTCGACTTGGATGGCCCTGATGGTTTTTTACAACTCTGTGTTTCTATTATTTGGAGGGGCTATTGACAAAAACTCTTTCTTACTGTTGTTCTGGCTATGAGTATTCTTTCAGTATCTTTAGAAGCTCCAGCTTTCAGTCCTGAACTACCTTGGATTGCAATGGGAATTCCTATTTACCAATAACATAAAGCCTGAGGGCTCTATCCATCTTAACAAAATGAGTACATGGCATGTGCTACCTTGTAGACGCATGGAGTTTTTATGGCTTCCAGAGTATGGCCTAAAGGCACAGGATGAAATCACCTTGCAGTGAGCTCAGGCCTGGCAGGCATGGGAGGCTGTTTTGGTTGAAAGGCACTTGGGAGGCTAATCTCCATTCAAAACAGCCCATCTTCAGTGCAGCTCTGTCCCCTTGAACAGACTACACTACTACACTTTCTAAACATGGAGATGAGACTTCTAAAAACTTATTTGCTAAGGTGTATAGGAACTTTTCTGTGATACTCTTCCCAGCCTAATTGTATGGCTTGTGACATCATATGATGATAGCAGACAGTAGTATCTACTTCTTATTTACATATGGCCATGAGCCATGACAGCTCATAGATCAAACCTTCCCAACCAGTCCATACTTCAGGAAGTAAAGCCTGACTGCTCATTGGAGGGAAGGATATTAGAGGCAAAGATGAAATACTTTGGCCACATCATGAGAAGACAAGAAAGCTTGGAGAAGACAATGATGCTGGGGGAAATGGAAGGAAAAAGGAAGAGGGACCCACCAAGGGCAAGATGGATAGATTGTGTCCTTGAAATGACTCTGAAGAAGCTGGGGGTGGTGACGGCTGACAGGGAAGTCTGGCGTGGGCTGGTCCTTGAGGTCACGAAGAGTTGGAAGTAACTGAATGAATAAACAACAACATACCACTAATTTTACCCACAGAGCTGCCAGACATCAAATGCCGAGTATGTAATCATTTAAGCAGATCCTGGAAAAGCAACTTTGGGGAGTTGGGGGGGGGGGGCACTGCTTCTAGAATCCCCAACCAATGTAATTATCTGCAGAAGGATGCTGGGAATTCTAGTTCTTTAGTTTAGAGCTGTATCTCAGTGGTCATGCTAATAATTATATTCCAGGGAGATGTTTGTCCCAAAAGTCACTTTGCCAGGTCAAGGAAAACAATTGCACTTGAAAAGAAAAGAAATAAACCAGGTTAATGTTCAACTTTAGTGTGCCATTCTAGTTCTAAATCAATGGTTCTCAACCTGTGGGTGTTTTGGCCTACAATTCCCAGAAATCCCAGCCAGTTAACAGCTGTTAGGATTTCTGGGAGTTGAAGGCCAAAACATCTGGGGACCCACAGGTTGAGAACCACTGTTCTAAATGGACATGTATAAAATGACATGTCCATTTAGAACAAAATAAAATAAAGTTGCCCACAGGAGCTGGGCATTAGCTCTGTGAAACTGTTTAAATCAATTTTAAAGGAAACAGGATGGGCTATCTCTACAGTGGTAAACCTCAATCTATGACAGCAATATAATTACATGCTGTTCTATAACTAAAAATAAAAATCCCAGCACATGGAA